TAACAAAAAAATCCACTCAAAATACATAATATACAGAAGTATTTCCATAAATGAGGAGCCATGCTTTTTGCAAAGGAAATGATTGTTGACTAAGAAACAAAACAATACACCAACTATACTTCTCTCCCTGAACTAAAGTTCCTATCTCAGTACTTGAGGATGCAGGATCTGGATGGAGAATGAACGGTTGAAAAGTAAGAGGTATGTGCCAGCACTGTGGCACAAAATGCTAAGCCTCCGCTGTAGTGCTGCCATTCCATAGGGCGCCAGTTCATGTCCCAGCTGCTCCTCTTCAGATCCAGCTCTCTGCTTAGGGCCTGAGAAAGCAGTGGAAGATGGCCCATGTGCTTAGATCCCATCATCCATATGGAAGTCCCAGAGGAGGCTCCTGGCTCCTGTCTTTGGATCGGCCCAGCTCCAGCTACTGCAGCCTTATGGGGAGTAAATCAGAGGCTAGAAGACTTTTCTCTCTGTCTCTCCCTCTCTGTCTGTAGCTCTGCCTCAAATAAATAAATAAAATCATTGTGTTTTTTAAGTAAGTGGCAGTTATTTAGAAAATATTTACACGAACTTACTAATGTTTACTGGGGTCTACCTCAGTTCTGATGCTAAGTAAAAGAGAAAAAACTTTTGGGGCTGGCATTGTGGTGTAGTAAGTTAGGCTACAGTTGGCAACACTGGCATCCCATATGGGTGCCAGTTCAAGTCCCAGCTGCTTCACTTATGATACAGCTCCCTGTTAATGTGCATGAGAAAGCACTGGAAAGTAACCCAAGTCCTTGGTCCCCACACCCTCATGGGAGACCCGGATGAAGCTCCTGACTCCTGGCTTTGGCCTGGCCCAACCAACCCTACCCATCGCAGCTATTTGGGGGGTGTGCCAGGGGATGGAAGATCTCTCTCTCTCTTTCTGCCTCTCCCACTATCTCTACTTCTCTCTAACTCTGCCTTTCAAATTAATAAATAAATCTTAAAAAAGGAAAAATGTCTTAAGAAATTATAGATTTTTGGAGAATTTAAGAGTTCTAAGAAGGGGGTAATTTTTGAGCACTTTACAGTGAACTACCATAAATTTTATGAGAAATATATTAAAATCTGACTCATAATTCAAATCAAGAGTAGGCTATTCAGAAATAAAGATAGAATAAAAAAGCTTTCTCAAAGATGAATCAGACTAGGTACAAAAGGAAACTGAATTAATGAAGTAGAAACTTAGCAGCAACATTTCTTAAACTTGAAGAAAAAAATAATAAAATGAAAATTATAGAAGAACATCAGAAAAACAAGATGCATCTAGGAGATTGAATAATAGTAGCTTTAGATGCAGGGAGAAAAACAGACTGGAGCAACTTAAAGAAAAAAGAAGAAATTTTCTCAGACTAATCCAATACTAAGCAATATTTGTGAAATAAAATCATGAAATTCATGAAATAAAATTCATGAAATCAGACTCATAAGTACACACATCATTGTGGAATGGCTAAACTGCAAGAATAAATAAATTTCACAAACATGCAGGAGTATTAAAAGCTTCTAAGATCGGGGCGCCGGATTCTTTCCCGGCTGCCCCTCTTCCAGGCCAGCTCTCTGCTGTGGCCCGGGAAGGCAGTGGAGGATGGCCCAAGTGCTTGGGCCCTGTACCCCAGGGGAGACCAGGAGAAGCACCTGGCTCCTGCCTTTGGATCAGTGCGGTGCGCTGGCCTCAGCACGCCAGCCGTGGCAGCCATTGGAGGGTGAACCAATGGCAAAAAGGAAGACCTTTCTCTCTGTCTCTCTCTCTCACTATCCACTCTGCCTGTCGGAAAAGAAAATAAACAAAAAAAAAAAAAAAAAGCTTCCAAGAAGAAAAGATCAGTGGATTTTTCTCACCCATATACAAACTTTGTTTTTAGTGATAAGAAAAAAAAATGTATACATCCACCAAATATTTATTAAATTCCTACTGTATGCTGTTTGGTGGCTAGAGATACAGCACTGAATAAAAAAGGTACAACATCTGCTATGTATTCTAAGGGTACGAAATGATTCCATGGGCAGAATAGAGAACCTTGCTCAGATAGATCATTTATGTCTAGAAGCAAAAATTTTAATCTCACCATATTTAAGAGATGATACATTCATTTCATTTTCTTTTGTGGTATCTACTGTATCAGAGATACAAGGGGATCAATTGCTTGGAGCTTCACCAAAAAAATCACCCTCAGCAGGAACTGCTTAGAGGAGAGCTTTATTAATTGTGACAAGGAAGACATTGGGGAGATGTAGTTCCAGAAAAGAAACTGCTTTCCTGTGAAACAGTTGCTAAGGCTTTTACAGCAAGGGTTGGGGTATGTTCAGGATAGAAAAAAAGGGTAGGAGGAGGGCCCTTCCACGTTGCAATATGTCTTCAAACCTTCTATGTCCAAAACATCTGCCTCAAACTGATTTCTTACAGTCATATGCTTCCTTGTTTGTGGTGGTCTGGCCCTCTCTGAGTACAATATCACCAGTTTCTCTTGAACATCTTCTGAAAAACAAGCTCCAGACAGTAAACTACTTCAGATTCTCTGCCCATGCACCAGTGTCCCGCTGTTGTCCAAATATGCGCTGTTGGTTACAGGTTCAGATGTCAGAGTGAATTGCCAGAGGCTCATATTTCTTTCATAAAAACATCCACACCTAGGCAGTAACTGGACGTTATAGCAGCTGAGCTTCACTGAATCTTCTGAGATCCAGGCTCCTCCACACCGAGGAACATACCATCCCCCTCAACACAGTTTTAGGAAATCACAGGAATTAGCACTTTAACAAATATCCCAGGTGATTCTAACACAGGTGGTCAGTAATTTGTGTTGAGAAATCTTGATATAGAGGAAAGAGTAAAGGGGTGATAAAGTGATTCCCAAAAATTAGTGATGAAAGAAATGAAAAAAAACTTCTAATATTTATTCAATCAATAAGTAATTGCTAAGAATAGAGACATGCTAAGTCATCTTAAAGAAACCCAAATCTAGGGCCAGGGCTGTGATGTAGTGGATTAAGCCTCTGCCTGTAGTGCTGGCATCCCATAGGTGTACCAGTTCTCATCCCAGCTGCTCCACTTCCGATCCAGCTTCTTGCTAATGTGCCTAGCAAAGCAGTAGAAGATGGCCCAAGTGCTTGTGTTCCTATACCCACACAGGGGACTCAGAAGAATCTCCAGGCTCCCGGTTTCAGCCTGGCCCAGCCTCGGCTGATGTGGCCATTTTGGGAGTGAACCAGCTGATGGAAATCTGCTCGCTCGCTCGCTCGCGTGCTCTCTCTCTCTCTGCCTTTCAAGTAAATAAATCTTTAAAAAAAAAAAAAAACAGATCTCCCGTGTTTGACCATATTTTTCTTTTAGATATGTTCATTATTAAAGAAACTGTCCATGTGAAACTGGACTGTGCAAAATGTATCCACAGCGTGGAAGCACAAAGCGCTTAAAACACTCAGCTTTCCCTGGATGCAACACCTAGGTTGTGCCTCATGCCTTTTTAGAAATCCTCCTGCCATTCTGTGCTATGTCTGCAGTTACTTTATTGTTAACCTTAAAAATGTTTCAGAAGATAGTTTGTAATTTTTATTTACCATTGCTGTCAGGGTATCTATCACTGATAATGTGAGTAATAATATTAAGCAGTGGCTACTCTGAAAAGGCCAAGAAAAAAAGAAAAATCTAGATTTTAAAAAATGGCTGGCACTATTTTGTAACACCTACCATTCTACTAATGTTCTTTAATGTAAAAATTGGGTTAATTGTTCCCATCTACCAAGGGCTTTTCAAAAATACCACCCACTGGTACTACTAGGAAAACAGACCTATAGAATTAGCCATTTTGTATAGCAGTTAAGACACTGCTTGGGCCACCTGCATCCTATACCTGAGTGCCTGGTTCTGCTTCCAATTCTAGCTTCCTGCTAAGGTGCACCCTGGGGGACAATAGGTAATAGCTCAAGTTGCTGGGTCCCTGCCACCCAAGTGGAAGACCCAGACTCAGTTTCATGCTCCTGCCTTCTACCTGGCCCATCCTTAGCTGTTGCAGACATTTGGGATGTGAATCAACAGAAGATATTTGTCTGTGTCTTTTAAATGATTATGTACATTTATTTTTAAGAAAACTAGGTATTTCTCAACCTACATTATCCAAGTTTCATGGTTTAAGAAAACTCCATATACTGTTAATATTTCCCTTTACCTCTTTTCACTAAATTCTCTCAAACTGCTGTTAAGTTTCCAAATGAAATCTTCCACAGCTTCAAATCAGTTAACCAACGTCTCACTCTGCTGTACTAAAGGATTCCTAGCACCCAACAGCTTCAGACAGGTGTCAATGTTTAAGGCCACTCAAAACTTTGGGAAAGTCTCTTCAAAACCTCAAAACCTATCTTAATTTCTGTCAATTGAAAAATGATATCTCCTTGCAGATATATTTTCTAAAATTCCAGTGAAATTCTGAATGCAGAATTTTGACTCACACACAACCCAAAGAGATGGGTGTTGTAATGCAGTAGGGTAAGCCCTCCTTGGGACACCCACATTCCATACCCCATACCCAAGTGTGGGTTCCAGTCCCTTCTCCGCTGCCTCCCAGCCGGCTTCCTGACAAAACATCCTGGGAAGAAGCAGATCACAGTCTGGTGGTTGGACCCCTGCCACCCTCCTTAGAGACAAAGATGTTGGTCCTGGCTCCTGGCTCCAGCCTAGCCCCACTACGGGCTGCTGCAGGCATTTAGGAAGTGAACCAGCGGGTGGAAGATGATCTCTCTCTTTCTCTCTCTCCCCGTCTACCCTTCAAGTAGATGGAAATTAATTAAAAAATAAACGGAAACTACTTCAAAATAAGCACAACCCGAATCTCATAAAGGGATGACGGAAGATTTTCTTAAGGGAAACAATTTGGCAAGTTTTACACACCCTGCTCCATATCCTATGTCGTATGCATTATGCAAAACTACTTAACACAATATTTACCAAGCGAATGAGGGGGGTCTGAACCTACATTTTTGCAGAGAACAGAATCATGGCCTCTGGCAAGATGCACGCAGGACAGCGACGCCCACACACACCTGAAGCTTTTACTAGAACCACAGGGCACTGCCTGAAGCAAGCCGTGGCCCTGGAGTGTCAAGCTTCAGACGCTAACATTGCAGACGTTCCTGGAGGGTCACAAGAGTAACTGTTAGCTCTCTTTGCAAATTCTCTCGAACCAGAGGCTGGGCTTGCAACTTAACTGCCTCCCCCCTTCAGAGCACGGAAACAACTTCGCCTCGCTGCCGACCACCAGAGGGAGAAGGAGCGCCACGGAAGCCGGCCTAGGCTCCCAGGCCGCCCGGGGAGCGCCAGCCCGAGGCCGCCAGGCAGCCCGGGGTCTCTTAGGCCCCCGCCGGCGCCGGCGCCGGCGCCGGCGCGGGCAGCGCGGCATCGGCACGTGACCGGCGGCGCGGCCAATCAGCGCTGCCCTCGGAGGTATTCAAATCGGCGGCGGGGCGGACGGTTGTCTGCCGGCTGGCGGTCGGTGCGGCGGCTTCTAGGCCGTGAGCTTTCCCTTCCGCAGCCATGGACCGCCGCCGGCGCTGACAGACCCATGGAGAGTCGCAGTGTGCCTCCCGGGCCGTATCGGGCCACCAAGCTGGTAAGGCAACGCGGAACGACTAGAACGGCCGTTACGTGAGACCCCTCGTGGTTGGAAAGATGGGCTCCGCTGCCCGTCTGTGGGTCGGCTGGAAAGGAGGGCGGGGGGATTAACTGGTGTCGCCGTCCTTGCTGGCTGCACCTCGACCCCCTCTTTGAGGGCCTGGGCCTTTGCTCCCAGTTTTCCGGGACTTGGATCCAAAGGGAATCGTTCCCCGGAAGGCCAAATCCTATTATGGTTAAGTGGATATTTAACAGTGACGCGTCATACAATGCCTGCAAGACACTGCTCTTCAAATGCATGCGAGGGTGTTTCACAGAGTTCGTGGACACCTCAAATTAAAGGTGCATTTTGGTGCAAAACATTTTTGAAATCCGTGCATAATGTTTTTATGGTACGCATTTTACACGAACTTTTGGAAGACCCCTGATTTTTGCCCACCTGAAGGGATTTGCTGAGGCTACTGTAACGTGAAGGTGTGTTGTGATGCATAGAAGAACACAAAGGTTAACCTCAGGGAAAGTACCTTCAAGTGAGTGGTGTTGTTACTAGCCCCACTCTGCCAGTGTGGACACTGACGTTCACAGAGTTAAGTGACTCCCCCTGAAGTCACATAAACAGCTAGAAGGGTTGAGATCTTCCTCATACGGATCTCGCTGCTCGAAGTTATTGATCCTAATTGTAAGGATGAAGGATAGAACTTAGTACAGGAAGGGAACCTTAATCAGGTGGGCATAGCACACTTAAAAACTTATTAAATTGATTTGTGTGTGTTGAATCATCCCTGTGTATCACAGATAAATCCAACTTGGTCCAGGTGAATGTGATCTTTGATGTGTCCTTGCATTTGATTAGCTACTGCTTTGAGGATTTTTGCGTCTCTTCATCAAGGATATTAGTCTAGAGTTCATCTTTGTTGTATCTTTTTCTAGTTTTTTAATTAAGGTGATGCTGGCCTCACAGAAGGAGTTTGGAAGGATTCCCTCCTTCTCATCTGTTTTGAATAGTTTGAGAAGAATTGGAATTAGTTGTTCTTTAAAAAGCTTGGTAAAATTCTACCGTGAGGCCATCTGCTCCTGGGCTTTTCTTTTGTGGGAGGGTCTTTATTACTGATTCAGTGTCTTGGTTATTGGTCTGTTTAGGTGTTCTATGTCTTCATGACTCAATTTTGGTAGACTGTATGGATACAAAAATATATTCCTCAAATTTTCCAGTTGTTTGGCATATACATATCTGTAGTAATTCTTGATGATTCTTATTATTTCTGTGGTATCCATTATAACATCTCCTTTTTCATCTCTGATTTTATGAATTTGAGTCTTATCCCCTCCCTGTCTTTTTTGATGTTGTTGTTAGTTGGGCCAAGTGGTGTATTGGTTTTCTTTCTTTATTCAAAAAACCAGCTCTTCCTTTCATTGATCTTTTGTATATTTTGTTTTAATATTGTTTATTTTCTAATTTTTAGTATTTCCTCCTATTAATTTTGAGTTTAGTTTGTTCTTGTTTTTCTAGATGCTTGAGATACACTGTTAGATCATTTGATTCCTTTACAATTTTTTGACATATGCACTAATTGCTATAAACTTTCCTCTTAACACTGCTTTTGCTGTATCACATAAGTTTTGATATGTTGTGTTATCATTCATTTCTAGGAATTTTTTTATTTCTTTTTGGAGTTCTTCTGTGACCCACGGTTCATTCATCAGCATGTTGTTCAGTCTCCATGTATTTGCATATTTTCTAGGGTTTCTTAAGTTGTTTGTTTCCAGCTTCATTCCACTGTGATCAGAAAAGATAAATGACATGATTCCAGTTTTTTGAATTTGTTAAAACTTGCTTTATGGCCTATCATATGGCCTATCCCAGAGAAAGTTCAATGCATTGATGAAAAGAATGTAGCTCTGAGATGAACTGTTCTGTAGATATCAATTAGGTCCATTTGATCCATAGTGTAGATTAACTCTGTTTCCTTGTTGATTTTTTTTTAATCTAGTTGATCTGTCCGTTGATGAAAGTGGGATGTTGAAGCCCCCCATTATTGTTGTATTGGGGCCTATGTCTTCCTTTAAATCCATTAAAATGTGTTTTAAACTGCCAGGCACCCTAGCATTGTATACATGTACATTTATTACATTCACATTTTCCTGTTGGACTCATCCCTTAATTATTATGCGATGTTGGTTCAAATCAATAAATGTGATACATCATTTTAACAAATGGAAGAATAAAAATCCTATGATCTTCTCAATAGATGCAGAGAAAGCATTTGATAAAATACAACATCCTTTCATAAAAAAATCATTAAGCAAATTGGGTTTAGAAGAAACATACCTCAATACAGTCAAGCAGTATATGATAAACCCACAGCAGAGCACCGTATTGAATGGGGAAAAGTTAGAAGCATCTCCACTAAGATCCAGAACCAGACAAGGATGCCCATTACTATTCAGTATAATTCTAGAAGTTTTAGCAAGAGCCATTAGACAAGAAAAATAAATCAGAGGGAAATACATTGAAAGGAAGAACCCAAATTATCACTGTTTGCAGATGATATGATTCTACATATAGGAGAACCAAAAGACCATTAAGAGATTATTAGAACTCATAAGAGAGTTTGGCAAAGTTTTAAGACAAAATCAACACAGAAATCAAGAACCTTCTTCCATGTTCATGGATTGGAAGAATTAATTTAATCAAAGTGTCCCTAACATCTAAAGCAATTTACAGATTCAATGTGATCCCAATCAAAATAACAAAAACGTTCTTCTCAGATCTGGAAAAATGACCCTAAAATTCATATGGTATTGCCTAAGACCCTGAATAGCTAAAACGATCCTCAACAATAAAAATACAGCTGGAAACATCATAACCCCAGTTTTCAACAAATATTACAAGATAATTATAATCAAAGCAGCCTGGTACTGGCACAGGAATAGACATGTTGACCAGTGGAACAGACTAAAGCCCCCAGATATTAATCTACACATCTACAACCAACTTATCTTTGACAAATGCACCAACATCACTCCCTGGAGAAAGGACAGTGTCTTCAACAAATGGTGGAAAAATTGAATCTGCATGCAAAGTATGAAACAAGACCCCCCACTTTGCATGCTACACAAAGATCTACTCACAATGAGTCAGGAATCTAAATCTAAGACCTTAAACCATCAAATTACTAGAGGAAAAAGAAAACATCAGGGAAAGTCTGCAAGACATTGACATAAGCAAAGACTTCCTTTTAAGACCCCAGAGGTCCAGAATATAAAAGCAAAAATAGATGAATGGGATTACATCAAGCTATGATGCTTTTGCACAGCAAAGGAAACACTCAGCAAAGAGGCAACAGACAGAATGGAAGAAAATATTTAAAATTATGCATCTGCTAAAGGATTAATATCTAGGATATATGAAGGGCTCAAGAAAACAACAGCAAAACAATCCAGTTAAGAAACAGACTAAGGACATGAACAGGCATTTTTCAAAGGATAAAATACAAATGGCCAACGGACAATTGCAAAGATGCTCAGAATCACCAGCTATCGCAGAAATGCGAATAAAAAATGCCAACAAGGTTTTACCTCACCCCAGTTAGAATGGCTACCATCCAGAACTCAAAAAATAACTAATGCTGGCAAGGTTGTGAGGGAAAAAGTTTCCTAATACACTTTTGGTGGAAATGTAAACTAGTACAACCATGTGGAAGACAAAGTGGAGAGTCCTCATAAATCTGAAAATAAGTCTGCCATATGACCCAGCCATTTCCACTCTAGGGAATTTACCCAAAGGAAATGAAATCAGCATATGAAAGAGTTATCTGTACCTGCATGTTTATTGCAGCTCAAGTCACAGTAGCTAAGATACGGAACCAACCCAGATGTCCATCAACTAATGACTGGATAAAGAAAACGTGGTATATATACACAATGAAAGACTGACTACCCAGCCATAAAAAAGAATGAAATCCTGTCTTTCGCAACTAAATGGATACAACTGGAAACCATTATGGTTAATGAAATAAGCCAGTCACCCAAAGACAAATATCATGTTTCTCCTGATTTATGATAAATTATATAAAGAGTACAAAAAAGTAATGTTTATGAGTGAAACTGAGATTTGAAATTTGATTTTTATTTATAGCTCTTTTCTGTAATATCGAGGAACAGAGTTTTTTCTACTTGCTACTTGTTGAATTATTTATTTAGTGGAGCGTTAAGCTTGTAATTATAAAATGAATTGAAAATATATCATAAATTTTTAAAAATGAGGAGGGAGGACAGGAGAGTATAGGGGAGAAGTATCATTATGCTCTTAAAGCTGTATATATGAAATTTGTTAACTTTATATACATTTTTAAACTTTTAAATTCATTAAATTGGATGAAAGTAGTACAAGCAAGGAGAAAAAAAAAACTACTTAGTGTTTACTCATGCGTTTTGTGTATTAAATCCTTTTTGTTTCAACATGCCCATTAGGAAGGTACTGTTTCCCCATTCTTTGGATTAGATGGGAGAGGCACAGCGAGGTAAGGTAATGCCAAAAGGTCATAAACAGTGCATCAGTGGAGATGGAGCTGGGAAACAGATCCTAGTAGTTTGAATCAACAGTATACTGTTAGAACTGTCTGATACCACTTTTCAGAAATATTATTTTCTAATCTCCTGAAGTGCAGATACCCCTTGTGTCATTTTTACTACTGTATACCCAGGCCAGTACATAGCGAGCAGCTCAATATAGGTTTCTTGAATAAATGAATATGTGAAATGAGGAGGTGCAAGAAGAAAATAATACACCCCTTAAATTCTGTTAAGATGCTAGGACTCCACATAAGTTGCGTAAGTGGCAGCACAGCTAATAGCATAACTAGGGTTACAAATTAGATTTCTCATTTACTTCTAATGTACAGTTTTTCAAGAAAAAAATGGTATGTGTATTTATACCACATTATCTCCATGCTCCATTAGGGCTTTCACAAATCTGGAAGTTTGGCTGATTTTAGGAAAGTTTTAAAAATGCTGTTTTAAAACGTAGGTGTCACAGTATCATTTTAATATTTAAGACATTTACCAGTAAAACTGTTGCCTGCCGGAAGTTTCATTTGACCAACACAGTTATTGAAAGTACAAAGTCTAGAGTTGGTCAGATCTGGATTTGAATGCCTAGGCTCATCACTTAGCTGTGTGACCTTGCTTGAATTTTTTTTGTCTCTCTCTGCTTCATTTCCCTTACATGAAAAATCAGTTTCTACTCATCTAATTGTAAAAGTTAAAGTAAAATAACAAATGTAAAGCACAGTGCTTGGTACAGATGCTACCAGCATATTATTAATGTTAATGGTAGTAAACAGAACAAATGGCATCTCTGTTAAGGACTAAAGGGGGGATACATTGTAGTTCTTCTCCTTATTCCTAGGTTTCCTAAAGTTGACCAGCCAGTGAAGTGTGTTTAGTGAAATGCTGTTACAAGAGTATATTACCAAAACACTAGGAAATAATAAATCAGTGTAAGATATAAAATTTTCTGTAGCCCAAATAAGATAACTTGTTTTTTCAGGAATTTTTATGATGCAATGAGATATGATTTAAAGAATTTTTTTTGCCTGATATATTCCAAATCAGTAAAAAATTTCATTTTTGTTTAATTTTTAAAGAATATTTTCCTCCTTTTTACAGTGGAATGAAGTCACCACATCTTTTCGAGCTGGAATGCCTCTAAGAAAACATAGGCAACACTTCAAAAAATATGGCAATTGTTTCACAGCAGGAGAAGCAGTGGATTGGCTTTATGAACTATTAAGAAATAATAACAATTTTGGTCCTGAAGTTACAAGGCAACAGACTATCCAACTATTGAGAAAATTTCTTAAGAATCATGTAATTGAAGATATCAAAGGCAGATGGGGATCAGAAAATCTTGATGACAACAATCAGCTATTCAGGTACTGAACAAATATATAAAACTAAATGACTGCATTTTTTGTCTCCACTTTTATTATACTTTTACTCAGCTTCAAGTAATTTTTTTAAGGTTTGTTTTATTTATTTGAAAGGTAGAGTGACAGAGAGAAGGAAGGACAAGAAGAGAAAGATCTTACCTCCACTGGTTCACTCCCCAAACTGCCGCAACAGCCAGACCCGCACCAGGCCAAAGCCAAGAGCCTGGAACTCTGTCCAGGTCTCCCATGTGGGGGCAGGGGCCTGAGGACTTGGACCATCTTCTGCTACTTTTTCCCAGGTGCATTATCAGGAAGCTGGATCAGAATTGGAGCAGCTGGGACTTAAACTGGCCCTCAGATACGGGATGCTGGCATTGTAGGTAGTGGCTTAACCTACTGTACCCACACACCAGTCCCTTAAGTAATATTTTTTTGGGAAGCTGTTACTATTCTTAGTACAGTAAAAAGCATTTAGAAAAATTATAAGGTGAAAGTTAACTGCTAGGAAACTTAAAACTTTTAAAACGTTTGCTACTTAGATAATAATGTATAGTAAAATAGGAAAGTGGGAGGGAAATGATATGCTGTCATTGTCCCTACTGCATCTTTGGAAGCTTCATAACATGTCAAGGAGAAAGTACTTATCAAATACCATAAACTTTTGCTTTATGATTTACATGTTTTCTTATTTAATCTCTGGAATAACCGAGCAGAGTCTGTGTAGGCCTTCACCCCTTTTCACAGATGAGGATACTGAGCACATGCTTTCCCAGCTCTTACTCTGTGAGTGTCCTTCCACTTTGAAGCAGTGTACACATTTGTCAGACTAGTGAACCTACACATTCCTTCTCATCTCAGCTCCTTGGTAGCCTCCCCTTTCGAGTCAACTCGCTTAAGCCCAAATAATTATATTTTTATCTCATGTACCCAAGATTCTTAAACCAAGTCTTTGTATTCTAATGTCAGTGCTTTTTTTTTTTTTTTGGCTACATTAGTGCTTTTCAAAAGAAATCAGAAATTGATTCTTTCCTATGTACCCAAGACAGTTTGTCTCACAAGTAAACTGCAATGACAAGCATGTCTATAAGCCATTTTGTATAATCCTCTAAAATCTTCCCTCTCGGCTATTCCTCAGTCATCTTTGTAGGCTCATTTACTCTTGCTCATCCTCTGAGTATTTCACCTCTGCAACTTTTTGGCAGCCTTCTCTCTCCAGTCAGCTTCCCAAGCAGTCTCATGCCCTGGGTTCACCTACTTTTCCTGTGAATTTCAAGCCTTCAACCCAAAACTCTCTCCTGAGATTCAGAGATATTTTTCAGCTGCCTGTGTAGCAAATCATCTCCTAGTTCCAATTTCGTCTTATGTTCTCTGAATGAATGTAATTTTATTCCCTGCAGTTGCCTTGATTCTGTCCCTTTCATTCCCACTTTAAGTGTGATTTACTTTTTCAGATCTTGTCAATTGCACTGCCTAAATAGTTCTCAGATCTGTATACTCTTTGTAAAGCTATTTTTTTCTTATCTGGATTTATATGTAACTCCTCAACTACTTTCTCTGCCTCTACCTAGTCTTTTACAAGGATAATAAAACCATGAAGTACCTAGAAAAGAAGTACAATGAACATGTATAAGATATTGGAGAAAATTATAAAATTGTATTACAGGGAATAAATGGAGAAAGATAATCCTATTTATAAATGAGAAGATTTAATATATATGAGTCAGTTCTTCCCACAATTATGCATAAATTTTATATATTTTCATTGATAGTCCCAACAGAGATTTTTGCAGAAGTTGACAAGCAGATTCCAAAATTCTTTTGGTAAAGGGTCCAAGGCAATTCAGAAGACCAAGGAGAGGAGAATTGCTTTATCAGATATTTGGGTTTAAATTAATTAAAAGCAATTAAGTATTGGGAAAACAAGCCCAAATATATGTGTGAACCATTATAAGTTATACATGAAAACATATTAAAACTAAACCTACCTCAGCATTGTGGCGTAGTGCATTAAGACGCTACCTGTGACACACCGGTATGCCATATGGGCTGCAATTTCTATACCAGCTGCACCACTTCCTATGCGGCTTCCTGCAATAGGTTTAGGAAAGGCTGCAGAGATAGCCCAAGTGTTTAGGCCTCTGGCACCCATGTGGGAAACCTGGAAAAAGCTCCTGGCTGCTGGCTTCAGCCTGGCCCAACCCTGTCTGTTGTGGCCATCTTGGTAGTGAACCAGAGGATAGAAGAGCTCTCTGTCACTTCCCCTCTCCCTGTATCTCTTTCAAATAAATAAATATTTAAAAATGAAAGTTTTATAAGAAAATATTTACAGGACAGTGGCGTAAGAAAAATTGAGAAAATTGTGTATAATTTAACATTAAGAGACCATAAAGTAAAAAATATCAAGTATTTTTTATTTACTAATAGTAATGACATGGGCAAGAAGGAAATATACTAACTATAAGGTTATGATTTTTCTTAGGAAGAGGGTAGAAAGAGTCGTAAAATTTTTTCATATAAAACAAACATGAAATTTTTGGTAAAATGTCAGCAATTACATTGATGGTTACATACATGTTTGTTTACAGTCTTCCTTGTACTTTTTAACATGAAATTTTAAATTAACGTGAAAGGTAGAAAAGCCATTGTAATAAAAGGAGCCCAGAGACCAAATTCTGGAAATTAGGACAAATACAGTCAAACAAAAGGCAGAATTATATAAATAAGAAACTTGTCAAAGAAATTTAGAAAAAAAAAATTTTTTGACAGGCAGAGTTAGAGAGAGACAGAGAGAAAGGTCTTCCTTTTTAACATTGGTTTACTCCCTAAGTGGCCGCTACAGCCAGCACATTGCAGCCAGCACGCTGCGCCGATCCGAAGCCAGCAGCCAGGTGCTTCCTCCTGGTCTCCCATGCGGGTGCAGGGCCCAAGGACCTGGGCCATCCTCCACTGCACTCCCAGGCCACAGCAGAGAGCTGGACTGGAAGAGGAGCAACTGGGACAGAATCTGGCGCCCCAACCAGGACTAGAACCCAGGGTGCCGGCGCCACAGGCAGAGGATTAGCCTAGTGAGCCATGTCACCGGCCTAGAAAATGTTATATTATAACCATTGGTGGGTGGGTGAGAAATACCTTTCCAACAGAATTGATCCCATTAGTAACCCTGAATTATCCAGAAATAGTTAAGATATACACAAAATGCTAAAGAAAACAGGAAATTAAAATGTTTTTTAAAGGCTTAATGGGAAAATTGGTTAGAATCTTCATTCTAGTAATATAAATAAATCAGGTTCCTATGTGATTTTTCAGATGGGCAACCTTTCTTGCTTGTGCCTGCTTTCATAGTATTGAATTGTATATTATTTTTAAATCAGGTTTCCTGCAACTTCTCCACTTAAAACTCTTCCACGGAGGCATCCTGAATTGAGAAAAAACAGCATAGAGTACTTCCCCAGAGATAAAGATACAATTTTTAAATTACGAAACTTACCCCGCAGGACTCCAAAAAGGCAGGGATTACATTTTTCTCAGGTAAAACACCCTTTCCTGATTACTAGTTAAGTGCAATTACTGTGTGATTAATAATGTGATCATTAAAGGTAAATGATTACTTAATATTTAGCAGAAACTGAAGTTTCCTAATCTACATCATATTATAGAAATGATTAAAAGTGGTAGTGAGATATACTTGAGAATTGCATTTGATATAATTTAAGTATATTTTGCTTAAATATATTTAAGTTGATTAGAGGGTGGTAGAGGCAGGTATAAAACCAAAAATTCGTATTACCATAGGGTACATTCTTTTTGCGGGCAACATTTACCTTGTAAATACACAAATGCACTGGTATTGATAGTATCACTAAGTATTGGGAATGATATCTGTTCAATATTGCCTTAAAATGAGCATAACAACTTAAAGTGCAATTATGATTTTTCAGGAAAATACAGAAAAAATAAAGCATGAAATAATCAATGAAGATCAAGAAAACTCAATTAATAATAGAAAAATAAGCCAAGAAGATGTTGAAGAAGTTTGGAGATATATTATTCTGATCTAGTAAGAAAAACTATAATGAAATTCATGAAGCACTTACATTAATACTATTTTTTCATTAAGATATGCAAATGAATAAGAACAAATTCATTATAAAACCTAACAATGAGTTTTGTGTTCTTATATCTCTTGCTATAATTCAAGTGCTGTAGAATTAGTATTTTCAGTATTATTTGCTTTACCTTCAACTCACAACTGTCACTTTAGTTTGTTTTATTACAGTTCTTTAAAGGTTATTAATAAAAATATATTTGAAACTGGGTGCTAAATATAAGCCTTAGCATTTTGGTTAATAGAAAAATAAGATAATCCTGATGGCTTTGTTTACCAGTAATATTCATTTATATTTATATTCTATTCTCTGCTTATTTTATGAAGAAAAATTAAGTCTATATTCTTTCTTCTATTTAGTCTGCAAACGATTTTAGGCTTGCCATCCCTAGAAGAAGTCATAAATCCAAAGCAAGTAATTCCTCAATATGTAATGTACAATATGGCCAATACAAGTAAGCATGGAGTAGTTATACTACAAGACAAATCAGGTTGGTATTAATAGACACTGGAATCACTTTAGACTTGCAAAAAATAAAAAGTTGCATCTATGAAGGAATACAGAAAGACGCAAATATAGAAAGTAGAATATTTTCATTGTGGGAGATAGATGCCTCAGTAGTAACAGTGGAATAAGTTTAGGAGAATTTTATTCATGCTATTATAAGAAATATTTGAACTGCTAAGCTAGGTTCATGTATGATTTAAAAAGAAAAAAAAAAACAAGATTAAATATATAAAAGTCATATAAAGTATAATAGAAACTGTTGACTATGATTTTAGTGAGGCCTGTAGTATACCAGGCATTGTACTGAGGATACATTGATGAATGAAATAGAAATGGTCTGTGCTTTCATGGAGCTTATGTGAGTAACTCTATAGAAGTTTATGAAGATCAAAACATATACAAAACCACAGTAACAGTGAAATAAGTCCAGATTGCCAAGATGGGGATTCCAAAATGCACTGGATTTTTATATATATTTATATAACATCTTGATTCATATAAGAATAGAAAAATAATTTGAGCCAAATGCATTAGAAAATTTAAATTATGTGGAAAGTATCAGTAAATCAGTTAAATACTCTTTTTTTCCTAATAAATTGATGTCTATAATGAGAACTAACATGCATTTACTTTGTAGCAGAACTGTGTTTTTAATTGTAGGAAGAAAATGTAAATGTCAAAACTGATGAATTTGTTGTTGCATGTGTATCCAGCTTTAAATTGGTCCCTTCCATTACCTAAAACAACATACTTAACCATATAGTGTCTTATCCAAAATTTCTGTTCTTTGTAATCATAAAATTTTCAAGTAAGTATATTTGTGGTTCATGTGTTTGTGTCGAAAGCTATTTTTATGCAGCATATTTTAGTTATTTGCAAGTGAAAGATGTTAAGTGTAAATGTTCAGATACTATAATGTTTAATCATAGGTCTCACCCAAATCAGCAGTATTCAAACATACTAATAGGCAGAACAGAAACAGAAATGAGGAAAAGGAAGTGATAGTGGCTAAAAGATGAATGTTAGAAGTTTATAGCTAAACATCCCCCCAAAATAGTTAATCCTTGATTTGGGCATAGCAGATTATTTTATGTACACTAGATAGAACCAAACCAAAATCTGTACAACTTTTTCTGTCTTTTCCTGTTGTTTACTATTGAACTCACTCTATGTCTTGTTAAACATAAATTTTAATGCTAGTAATGCACACATATACACATGCATGCATGTACATATGGGTATGTATATATGTGTGCATATATTTATGTGTATTATTACATGTAAGCATGAAGTTTTACAATATATGATCATAAAGAATATGTTATTTACCAAACACTGTTAATTTTTTTTGTATGTAGATGACCTTCCTCATTGGGTATTATCTGCCATGAAGTGCCTAGCCAATTGTAAGTTAAACAAAAATATATATATCGTTTATGTTAATGTTTAATTAGAACCAAGTGAACTTTCCCTTTTTTAAAAATTTAATTTATTTATTTGAGGGGTGGAGGTACAGACAGACAGAGGGAAAGACAGAGAGAAGTCTTCCATCCGCTGGTTCACTCCCCAAATGGCTGCAATGGCCAGAGCTGAGCTGAACCAAAGCCAGGAGCCAGGAGCTTCTTCCAGATCTCCCACATGGGTGCACAGGCCCAAGCACTTGGGCCATCTTCCGCTGCTTTCCCAGGCACATTAGCAGGGAGCTGGATTGGAAGTAGAGCAGCTGGAACTTGAACCAGTTCCCATATGGGATGCCAGTGCCTCAGGTGGAGGCTTAACCTACTGCACCACAGCGCTGGCCCCAAGATTTTTCAAATTTATAAAAACCCTGATAAAAGTATATTTTTTCTCTTGATGTTTAAATGAAAGACTAGTAGAATTGATTGCATTAGGAGACCCTTGACATTTTCTATGCAGAAGGTGATTTTTTTTAAAGACTTATTTATTTATTTGAAAGGTAGAGTTACAGGAGAGAGAGAGGTCTTTCATCTTCTGGTTCACTCCCCAACTGGCCTCCACCAGGAGCCATGAGCTTCTTCTGGATGCGGGTGGGTACAGGGGCCCAAGCACTCTTGGGCCATCTTTACTGCTTCCCCAGGCCATAGCAGAGAGCTGGATTGTAAGTGGAGCAGCTGGGTCTCAAACTGGGGCCTGTATGTTATACCGGTACTGCAGGCGGAAGCTACCCGCTGCACAACAGCATTGGCACCTACAGAAGGTGATTTTATAATTCAAGCCCATCATTTATGGTTAAATTCACAGAAAGTATAGCATAGGCTAATGAATCACAAAGGATTTTCAGATAAACCTAAATTAATTGCCTCTTAGACACAGAGAGTTCCAGTAGCAGCTTATAAGTGGGAAAGGTTCAACCAGAAATGAAGTATCCCAAGTCCCACTTCAGTCTCTTTCCATTGTACATGGCTTCAAAATCTCAGTGCTTTGCAACATGTTTCTGTTCCATAGAATATATTAATGGCACTTGTATGTTTACAAAAAAAGATGATCTGTCACTAGTCTACACATCTTTTTAGCATTTTATTCTTCAGCTTTTTTCATGGTGATCAGTGGTACTTGATTTTTATTATTTAATGCCCTGATTCAAGTACAGAACCCTATTTGCTTTAATATTAATTGAACAAATATGTAAAGATATATGCTTTTAAATCATCAAAAGTTAAATTATAAGGGCAGGAATTTGGTGTATTGGTTAAGATGCCTCCATCCAATATCAGAGTGCCTGAGATCATATCCCATCTTATTCCCCATTCTACTATCCTGCAAACATGCAGCCTGGAAGGCAGGAAGTGATGGATGGCTCATGTATTTTGGTCCCTTCTACCCATGTGGGAAACCCAGATTGAGTTCCCAGATCACAACTTCATCCTAGCTTTGTCAAAAGTAAGTTGATTGTGGCGCCAGCGCTGTGGTGTAGTGGATAAGGCCACCACCTGCAGTTTGGCATCCCATATGGGTGCCAGTTCAAGTCCTGGCTTGCTCCACTTCCAATCTAGCTCTCTGCTATCACCTGGGAAAGGAGTAAAGATGGCCCAAATCTTTGGGCCCCTGCACCCACATGCAAAGACCTGGAGGAAACTCGGGCCATTGTGGCCAATTAGAGAGTGAACCAGCAAATGGAGGACCTCTCTCTCTCTCTCTTCCTCTCCTTCTCTGTGTAACACTAACTTTTGAATTATATAATATAATCTTTTTAAAAATAAGTTGATTGTAATGCCTGGATTGATTTATGGAGTTTCCATTCCATTCCATTGGTCTGCATGTCTATTTTTGTGCCAATACCAGACTGTTTTGATTATAGCTGTGCTGTAGTATGTCTTAAAATCAGGTATTGTGATGCCTTCAGCTTTGTTTTTGTTGTATAAGGTTGCTTTAGCTATTCAGTGTCTCTTTTGTTTCCATATAAATTTAAACATCTTTTCTAGATCTGAAAAGAACGTCATTAGTATTTTGATTGGGATCACATTGAATCTGTAAAGTGCTTTTGATAGTGTGGACATTTTAGTGATACTGATTCTTCCAATCCATGAAAATGGAAGATTTTTCCATTTTTTTAATGTCTTCTGTTTCTTTCTTATCGTTGCGATCTTTGTCGTCCTTGGTTAAATTTATTCCAAGGTATTTAATTTTGTTGTAGCTACTGTGAATGGGATTGATCTTAAAACTTCTTTCTCAGCCATGGAATTATTGTTGTATACAGAGGCTATCGATTTTCATGTTAATTTTATATCTGCCACTTTACCAAACTCATTTATGAGTTCCAATAGTCTCTCTGTTGAGTTTTTTTGATCATCTATATATAGATTCATGTTATCTGCAAATAGGGATAGTTTGACTTCCTCCTTTCTAATTTCTATCCCTTTGATTTCTTTTTCTTGCCTGTTGGCTGTGGCTGAAATTTGCTGGGCTATATTGATTAGCAATGATGAGAGTGGTCTTTCTTGTCTGGTTCTGAATCTTAGAATGTTTCCAACTTTTTCCCATTCAGTAGGATGCTGGATTGCCTTGATTGTGTTGAGGAATGTTCTTTCTATACCTGATTTGCTTAAAGTTTTCCTCATGAAAGGATGTTGTATTTTATCAAATGCTTTCTGTACATCTATTGAGATAATCATAGGGTGTTTTCCTTTTGTTAATATGATATATCACATTTATTGATTTGTGAATGTTAAACCATCTCTGCATACCAGGGATAAATCCCACTTGGTCCAGGTCAATGATCTTTCTGATGTGTTTTGGGGACTCAATTAGCTATATTTTGTTGAGGATTTTTTTCATCTATGTTCATCAGGGATGTTGGCCTATAGTTCTCTTTCTCTGTCCTACCTTTCTCTGGTTTAGGAATTAAGATGAGGCAGGCTCCCTAGGTAGAATTTGAGACCAGTACCTCCCTTTCATTTGTTTCGAATAGCTTGAGAAGAATTGGAATTAATTCTTCTTTAAATGTCTGGTAGAATTTAAATTATGAATTGCTGAATAAAATTAAGCAATGAAGCCATCCGATCCTTGGCTTTTTTTTTTTTTTATTGGGAGTGTCTTTATTACTAATTCAGTCTCTCTCTTGGTTATTGGTCTGTTTAGATTTCCTATGTCTTCAGAACTCAATTTTGAAAGATGGTATGCGTCCAGGAGTCTATCCATTTTGTTCTAGGTTTCCCAATTTGTTGGCATACAACTCTTTGTAGTATTTCCTGATGATTCTTTTTATTGTTTTTGTTACATCTCCTATTTAATCTCTGATTTTATGGATTTGGGTCTTCTCCCTAGTTTTTTGTTTGTTTGTTTTGAATAGTTGGCCAAATGCTGTATCAATTTTGTTTATTAAAAAAAAAAAAAAAGCTCTGTCTTTAATCATGTCACAGAAGCTTCTTACAGTAAAGGTTTACAAGTCAATGCTTGGAAAACACTAAATTAGTGAACCAGAAGCAAACATTTCTAAGTAAATTACTAACTCTATCTGCATAGATTTAGATCTGTACACAGGAATTTGTATTTTTAATAAGCATATAGGATAATTCTGGTGTACATAATTGGATCACACATTAAATATTGTTGGACCTAAAAAGTTCTGTTTCTTGGCTGTGTTTACATGGCTGTTAAGTTCTAATTCTGGTGTTGCTATCAAGAGTTTTTAACCTTAGTAAGATTACTGTAGGCTCCCATTTTCTTACCTGTAAAATGAAATCATATCTTACTTCTGAGAAAAACATTAGAGTAGTCATGATTGTTTCAATAGTCTCGTTAAACCTAAGTAACAAAGATTGTAAAAATAAATAAATATGATAAATAAAGATTGTATTAAAATTCATTCAGGATATGCTTGATATCAGTCAAAGTTCAGTCATGTAAATGTAAATTTACAAAAGCAATTTGGAAGAATTATTTGCATTACCCAAATAATCTTTGCTTCATGAAATGAATTACAATAAAATCTCATTAGGCCTCCCTAATACTTTCAAGGTAACATGTAAAATTTTTCAGGTATGTAAATATTCAACACAAAATGCTAGCTGTTGACTTAAAATGATTTCTAAAAAAGAAAAGAGATGTACAGCTTGTTTAGTTTTTGAATATAGCAATTTGTTACATGTATCTTTTACATGAAATACAAGTTTTGTGCTTCTTATAAATATACTTAAAATTGTTTTTAAGTTAAAATATATTTTGCCTGTTTCTTTTACCTTATATTTCTTAGGGCCAAGAAGTAATGATATGAGTAATCCAACTTATGTTGGATTTGAACGAGATGTATTCAGAACAATTGCAGATTATTTTCTAGATCTTCCTGAACCTCTACTTACATTTGAATATTATGAGTTATTTGTAAACATTTTGGGTATGTATGGATTTTATTTATTATATAAATTCATTTTATTATTTAAGTTTTCATTTCCCATAATTTAAAAGAGCTAAAAGAGAACAACACTGGTAAACATGAAAGTAATAGTCTATAGATTATTTTAAAGTTTCATGATACTCTAGTATTATTGTGTCATTTTCCAGTGATTCAGATATATCATTCCAACACTGATTCTCCCCAATGTTAATTGAATGTCTTTTAATTCATTTCAATTCCAGCACCAACTACCTAAAGTCAACAGGTTAACTCTATATTTAAAGCGTGGTCAGATTTGGGGCTCAGTTCCAGAAAAGTCTTCTTACTTCAGAGGTCACTTGGAAATAAGGTTTCCAAGTTACTCACACTTATGGCCAGCCAATTTGAGGGTTCCTCAGTTTCAGTAATTCACTGCAAGGACTCAACTCAAGGAAGTAATTTACTTATGACTATCAGATTTTTGTTAAGGATGGAATTCAGAAACAATGAAATGGAAGAGATGCAAGAGACAAGTTATAGTGGTGGGGTGGTGCAAAGCTCATATGCCTTTTCCAGGCAAATCACCTTCCCAGCACATCAATGAGTTTATCAATCCAGGAACTCCCTTAGTTTTGTTCTTTTAAATATAGTCACTTTACTTAGACCTAAATGATTAAGTCATTGACCAATGGAAAAGCACATTTCCAGTTCCCTCCCCCCCTCCCAGAAAGTTGTAGTTGGGGGCTAGAAGTCCCAATCCTCTAATCACAGCCCACCGTGAGTCACTTGAGCATAAACTCAGGTATGCTCAGATAGACTCGTTATTAATAAATTTTCATCACTCAGGAAATTCCAGAAGTTTTAGGAGCTAAACTCCAGAAACCAAGAACAAAAACCAAATGTAAATATAAATGTTTTATTATCATACTTATTTTATAATTGAGAAATTCTAGTACTTGTCGACCAACTGGAGATATTTTTTAAAGCATTCTGGCTCAATTCATTTAATTATGCTGTTTATTAAAATTATTTATATCACAAACGGCAAACTACTAGCCTTGCACTTTTGTAACTGAATGTTGCATGTGTCCTGTTTAAGTGGCTTCTGAATTAAGCAACTGCTATTTATACTATACTAACAATATATACTATCTTGATGCTTTATTTTTTTAACTTTACTATAGTTTTTATTTGTGTCTATTGCCATACAGTTGCATCTTAATTTTTGTTTCATTTTCTGGTAGCTGTTTGTGGCTACGTCACAGTTTCAGATAGACCCAGTGGGATACATAAAAAACAAGATGATCCACAGTCTTCAAAAATTCATCACATAAACAATTTGAATAACTTCAAATCAACTGAGTGTCTTCTTCTCAGTCTGCTTCATAAAGACAAAAACAAAGAAGAATCAGATTCTACTGAGAGACTGCCAATAAGTGATCAAGGATTTCAAGAAAGATGTGCTAAGAAAATGCAGCTAGTTAATTTAAGAAACAGAAGAGCCAGTGTTAATGACACAGTAGGAGGAAGTTGTCATAATTTAGTAGGTTTAAGTAGCATGCATGATCTCTCCACTAACATCAAACCAAGGTGCTATTCTATGGACAGAATTATAGATTTGCCAGGGAATTCAATTAAAGAGGCATCCAGTGTCTTCTATCAGTCTGTTCTGAACATTGAAGGACAAAATGATACACAGTTTTTAGAGTCTAACCCCAAACAGGAATCCCTGCTGAATCTTCAATCAGAGGAAAGCATTCAAAAGGCACTCTGTGTTGGTTTCAAAAGAACCTCTGCTTTGACTGTTCAAGACCAAGAGGAATTATGTAATGGGAAATGCAAGTCAAAACAGCTTTGTAGATCTCAGAGTTTGCTTTTAAGAAGTAGTACAAGACGGAATAGTTGTATCAATACACCAGTAGCTGAAATTATCATGAAACCAAGTCTTGGACAAAACAGCACAAATGTACAAACAGCTATGAAAAGTGAACTCCAAGAGTCTAGTATCACAATCAATAAAAGACTCTGCAAAAGTACTATAGAACTTTCAGGAAATTCTTTACCTCCATCTTCTTCTATGTTGACTGGCACACAAAGTAAGGTTGTTGCTTTCAATGCATGCAGTGCTAACTTTTGTTATTTACTAACTCTATGTTTTGCTTCCCTGGCTTTTCTTCTCTGAAATTGCTTTATTTTTTTTCCTTAAAAATGAATTATTGTAAAAGACTTGTCATGTGTAACCAAGACTTATTTTACTTACCTAAAGCACTTATTTTCTTTTCCTTCAAGTTCACTTATTCTGAGTCACTTTGCTTGCAAAAAGTAAAGAATTTTCATGCTTAGAAATAGTTTGTGAAAAGCATAATAAGAATCTTACCATATTTTGGGGAAATGTAGACATTTCTAGACATAGTTAAAAGAAATACTAGGATACTATGTTACCTCTGTGTTTTTTTTTTTTTAATATAACCTTATAATTGATGGTATGAAAACAACCAATGTCATTGATCTTTTTTTTTTTTTTTTTTTGGCATGGGGTGACTTTGCTTTCTAGGTTTACTGCAACCTCATTTAGAGAGGGTGGCCATCAGTGCACTACAGTTATGTTGTTTGTTACTTCCCCCACCAAATCGGAGGAAACTTCAACTTTTAATGCGCATGGTTTCCAGAATGAGTCAAAATGTTGACATGCCCAAACTTCATGATGCAATGGGTACAAGATCATTGGTAAGTAGATTTCTTATGGAAAGAATAAGCCTTGGTTTACAAACAAATAAAAAAGCCAAACTATTCAAGAGTTCTTCTCAAGTAATATCTTAGTCTTCAAGTCCTAGGTTCTTGGGTAAAAAGACTCTTTAAAAGTCTAATCTTTCCTAGCAGCATAATTTTGTGGATTAATGTTTTGTGATCCATCTGTTAGGCTTTCTCAAATTGATGTTAATCTTGACCAAGGACTTTACCTCCTAAATCATCCTTCATACTGAATGACCCAGAGAGACTACATCATGTTGCATTGTACTAGTTCTGTTCGGTGGGAAAAGAAGAGAGACAGGTACTCTTGAAAGCTTACATCATAGAACTGTGGAAGTAGAAAACTAATTAAAAGTTCAGTTAGTACTTACAGTCAACCAAAGTTTTTCAGAAAATACACTGATAGGAAAGTTGTATTTGATAAATTATGGTAGCAAGTCAGTGTGAACTAAAAGTTGGGAGACATTATTGCCAAACAGTCTCATTGATTGGAAGTGAACCTATGAAATAGTCTCTCTTTTTCTGTCCCACCTCCTCCCTCTCACTCTTTAAGAACTGCTACTTCTTTAGACTACATTTTAATTAACGAGGTATTATGGCAAGGAATCGAAGTTATACTCTGTTCTTCTGTTCATTATTAAGGACAGTTTTTTAACAGTGATAAACCTAATGTAAGAATTATTACTCTTTAGTAATTAATTATGGCACTATTAAAAAACAGGAATTTTATAGGGGAAGGTGTTTTGAGAGGTATGTATGAGAAGGTTATAATTTTCATTTTATACTTTTTGGGTTTGAGGTTATAGAACATTGAAAGAAGTATAGCCAGTAGAATATTAGACATGCAAGCATGGTGAAGAAAGGTCAAGGCAGAGGGCAGACTTCTTGAGTCATCCACACAGAGATGGTATTTGAAGCTCTGAGTAAATGAGGTCTACAAGGCTAAGAATGTAGGAAAAAAACTTAAACTAAGGGGCTGAGCTTTGGAAGGATATAGAAAAATCTGTATGATTCATAGAATTAAAAATATTTCACTTCAGTAAATATGCTGATCATCTTCTATGTTCAAAATACTTAAAATAGAATTTTATTAATATCTTAGAATGAGATGTGTGTGTATGTGTATGGTATAGTGACTTACACAGATATGAGTTAAGTGTAATGACTTTTTTTTAATTTATTTATTTGAAAGTCAGAGTTACACAGACGAAAGGCAGAGAGAGAGAGAGGCCTTCCATTCAATGGTTCACTCCCCAGTTGGCCTCAACGGCCAGAGCTATGCCAATCTGGAGCCAGGAGCTTTTTCCGGGTCTCCCTCATGGGTGCAGGGGCCCAAGGACTTGGACCATCCTCTACTGCTTTCCCAAGCCACAGCAGAGAGCTGGATTGGAAGTGGAGCAGCCGCGTCTCAAATCAGTGCCCATATGGGATGCTGGCGCTTCAGGCCAGGGCGTTAACCCGCTGTGCCACAGCACCAGCCCCGAGTAATTACTTTTAAAACACCAAATTTATCCCAGGATTGGAACATTCCTTATGATGCAATTGAAAAATGTTTGTATGGAATTGCTGTTTAAAGAAAACAATAAGGATTAAAAACTGTTTTCTAGAGTTTGAAAAAGATCAGCTTTACAACCACTAATGAATATAATGTCATAGAATTGCCTGGTTTGTGTTCTTGTGGGATTCATTTAATGTAGCAAGTCTTTGTTCTCTAACAATCTTTAACCTTGAGTAACACATCTGCAGAGTATAATAAAACCTATGGTATTTACTAGTAAAATTGCGACAAAATTAAAGAAAAACGTAAGCATTTTATCATCCTTTGGAATTATATTAAGAAAAGACTTAGTGGGGACTTTTAAAAGGGCTTAAGCATTATAGTATTCTTTCTAACTGTAATACATTATTTTCCTTACTTTTTTTAACTAAAATTTTTGAGCTAAGTTTTTTGAGCTAAAAATCTACCTCTTTATCTCAGTACTTCACATAATGCTACCTAAAAGTTATTGACATTCTAATTTATATGAAAGTAGGCTTTAATTCACATCTTTTAATATATTTCTAGATGATACATACATTTTCACGGTGTGTGCTCTGCTGTGCTGAAGAAGTGGATCTTGATGAACTTCTTGCTGCAAGATTAGTTTCTTTCTTAATGGATCATCATCAGGAAATTCTTCAAGTACCGTCTTACTTACAGACTGCAGTGGAGAAACATCTTGACTACTTAAAAAAGGGCCATGTAGGTATTTTTGATTCTTAAAATTCTCTGCATCATTCATTTGCAAGTGGCAAACTCATCTCAAACTAGCCTAAAAAGAGAGACATTATTACCTCTCATTTAAACCTCTAAAAGTCAGAAATGTAGGAAAAAAATTGAGGTTTTAAATAGCATTAGAACTCTATTTCCATTCCTGTATATGTTAGCTCCAACTTGGTCCTATATTTAAATAATGGCCCCTTCACAAAGATGGAGAATATGGCCAATGAAAGTTTATATGTCACAGCCTTACATTCGAAATCTACAGGGAAAAACAGATGCCCCTCTATCTCCGTTTTGAAAAATTCTAGGTATGAACTCCTGATTGGCCCAATCTATGTTAAATGTATCCCTTGGATAGTTAAGGATGACTAGGATGGAGAGAGAGCCATGCTGTGACTTTCTCTCTAGATTGAGGGAGAATTTGTTCTTCACAAGTGGTGTGAGCAGAGTGGATGGAACTGCCATGAGAAGGAGAGAAGAAATACTGAGCATCCAAGATTAAGAGATGCACAGTCTCTGGCTGTGCAACACACATGTTCATGGTTTTTTTTTTCCATATGTGCAATTCTAATAATTGTCCTAGCTTATTATAATTATGAATGTCCCCTTTAATTTCTTTCTCTTATCAACTGGTGTTATGGGTTCTGCCGATAACCCTGGGCCTCAAAAACAAGGATACTTTATAACCACGAGTATTAATATTGTTAGATTAATTTTATTAGATTAATATTGTTAGATTAATTAAAAATCACTTAAGGGAGTTGGTATTGTGGTGCAGTGCTACTTGGAATTCCAACATCCTAAACAAGAGTGCCAACTCAAGTCCCTGCTTCTCTTCTTCTGAACCAGCTGATGCACCTAAGAGGGCAGCAGATGATGGTTCAAGTACTTAGGTCTTTGCTATCCACATGGGCGACCCAGATGAAATTGCTAACTTCTAGCTTCAGCCTGTCCCATCCCTGACTGTTGTGGCCATTTGGGGAATGAGCCAGCAGATGGAAGATGTCTGTCTGTCTGTCTGTCTGTCTGTCTCTCTCTCTCTGTCATTCTACCTTTCAGATGAATAAATAAATAAATCTTTTTTTTAAAAAAATCACTTAGATTGTTATTTTATAGCTAAAAGAATAAAATCCATGATTAAGAGTAATGATCATTGGGAACAGTCATTTAGCCTAGCAGTTAAGATGCCTGTGCCCCATATCAGAGTGCCTCGGTTTGATTCCTGGCAGCAGCCCCTGTCTCTTGCTTCCTGCCAGTACAGACCCAGAAAGCAGTGATGGTGGTGATCCTGACACCCACATGGGAGATTTACATTGCATTCCCAGCTTCTGCCCTTTTCCCAGCCCCAGCAGTTGGCAGAAATTTAAAGAATGGACCAGCAGATGGGAGCATGCTCTCTTGGTATACCTGCCTCTTGGACCCTCTCTCTGCCTCTAAAATTAAAAAAAAAAAAAAAAAAAAGTTTTCAAAAGTAATTATGTTTAACAGCTACCTTTCTTTAGTGCTGATTACATGCTAACTACTTTAGATACATTTTAATGTAATTTGCATTTCCATAATAAGAAAACTTAAACTAGCAGATTATGGAACTAGGATTTAGCCTGTGGTTTTCTGGATGTGTTGAATGGTTGGTGGCAAAATAATAAAAATAATAGTTACAAGATCCCATCAGAAGAATACTACTAAATAAGAATGTAACCAGAATTAACAGACTTGTTCTATATTATTCTGTTTACTATAGATTAAAAATCCTGGAGATGTACTAGTTGCTCCTTTGCCAACTTATTCTTACTGTAAGCAGATTAGTACTCAGGAATTTGATGAACAAAAAGTTTCTACCTCTCAAGCTGCAATTGCAGAACTTTTAGAGAATATTATTAAAGACAAAAGTTTACCTCTGAAGGAGAAAAGGAAAAAACTAAAACAAGTAAGTAAAATGAGCAAATTTGCCTTCAAGTATTTTCTAATACACCGTCACTGGTTGTTATTTAATAATAATATTTGCAATCTAATGTCTTCAATATTTTGGATTTAAAGTGTTGAATATATAGGATATTTTTCTGTATTGTGTGTGTTCATTAAACTAAGTCTGAAATATTTGAATATCCCTCTGATTTTATTCTTCATCCTGAGTTTTTAAATAATAATAGTAGTAGTAGTGGTCTCTACTGCTGACATTTTGTATTGTTGCTCATACTGACCTTGAAAAGAAATTACAGAATCTGGCTTATAATACATATGTTTGAGTGACTCATCACTACTGCTTAGGATTTTTAGCTCTTAATAAAACCCAGTAGTCACACTACTCTGACAAGTCTGATTCCAAATCTGAGACAAACAAAAAATTAGGAACTATGCTAGAATTAGGAAAATTAGAATTGGGAAAGAAGACCTGGAATTTAGGGGAGAGAATTAACAGCAGAAGAGAATCCTAAAATGTTAATGCTAATTGAGAATCTTTGTGATCTTAGGGAGTATGTTTCTTGTGAAAGAAAAGACAAAGGTAAGGATAAAATGAAAGGATTATCATCTCTAAAATGCATTTTTGAGAATGGGACAGAATTTGATAATAAAATACTCAATACTGGCTTCAGCTAAGGAAATAATGTTAAATACCCTCTAATTCTTTACCTCATTTTTCAGTTTCAGAAGGAATATCCCATAATATATCAGAAGAGATTTCCAACCACAGAGAGTGAAGCAGCACTGTTTGGTGACAAACCTACAATCAAGCAACCAATGCTGATTTTAAGAAAACCAAAGCTTCGTAGTCTAAGATACTAACTGAAATAAAAATTATCCAATACTTGTGGAACTTTGATAAATGAAGCCATATCTGAGACTCTATTACAAAGGAAGCCTGGTATTAAAAAGCTATCCCTAAATAAATACATTCTGTGACAAGGCCAGGATAGTTGTTGATCAGTGTGAGACTTCTGAGAAGCTAGCAGATCTAAACTGAGAGAACATAACACTAAGTGATACCAAATATTTTGACCAGAAATGTTCATCAAGAATAAGCAGCAATTTTGTTTTTAAAGGAGAACTTACATGTACACATGCTGATGGATATTAGCTAACAAACCAGTTGTTTAGAGTTGCTTCTTTATATTTGTACCTGTAAGAACGTGACAAATATCTGAAAGTTCAATGAATTCTCAACTATAAATGTTGCAGTCTCACACACTCTTTCTAGTTTTGCTATATTTATGTGTGCGTATGCCTAAAATATGTCTAAATGTTTTGTATTGCCTTTAGCATTCTCCAGCTACTTTGTTCATAATTTACTAGAAATTAGAGGATAAAATAAGTAAGGCAATCATGTGTTCAGTTCAAAAAATTTTTATTTATCAGTGCTATGTGCCTTTCATTGTTCCAGATATGTGAAGACAATGAAGCATATGAATCTCTTAAGATATTTATTTTCTAATCAAGGGATATACCTAGCAGCTTAAAATAACAGTACACTTACTAAAATGAGGGTATGAGGAATCCTTCAGTAAAGACTGACATCTATGATTATGAAACAGTTCTGTAAGCTAATGGATCTCAAAGTAGTGTACCTGGGAGAATTTTATATGCTCAGGAACTACCTTATGCCAATTAAATGTGAATTTTAGGAGTATTAACTGGGTATTGGTACTTTACTAAAGCTGTAGGTGACTCCAGTATTCAACCAGCTTTGAGAATCAGTGTCCTAAGAAAATGTAAAGATAATGGCATACCAACTATTTTTCCATTGAAAGAAAGTGCCAAGTAGTATGCAGACCTTTTTTTTTTTTTTTTTTGACAAAGTGGACAGAGAGAGAGAGAAAGGTCTTCCTTTGCCGTTGGTTCACCCTCCAATGGCCGCCACGGCCGGCGCACTGCGGCCGACGCACCTCACTGATCCGAAGCCAGGAGCCAGGTACTTCTCCTGGTCTCCCATGGGGTGCAGGGCCCAAGGACCTGGGCCATCCTCCATTGCACTCCTGGGTCATAGCAGAGAGCTGGCCTGGAAGAGGGGCAACCGGGACAGAATCGGGCACCCCAGCTGGGACTAGAACCCGGTGTGCCAGCACCACAGGCGGAGGATTAGCCAAGTGAGCCACAGCGCCGGCCAGACCTCTCTTCTTAACACAATATTCCTCAGTTTCCTACTTGGAAGAAAAATTTGCTTGATGTTTGTACTATTTTCACAAATTTTCTTTTACTTTTTACTCTAAGATTGTTATAAAATGTATATCTTAAGTTATAAAGAAATATATAATATCTACAATGTAATAGTTAATTTTTAATACTATTCTAATTTCTCATTGTAATTTCATACCATTGATTTGTAGAATAATAATATTCCATTTATTATTTTGCATAAAAAGTATGCACAAAGTGATAAATGTTACATTTAGCTCAGAAGGTTTGTCTATAAAATTTTTGTACCAAATTAGAATTGTTTCCAATGTTTGTATATTAAAACTTTGCCTGTTTAAAGATTTGTGATAATATAAATCAGGTTGGAAATTGAGATAAAAATAATTGTGGTTTATAACAATTTAATTTTACTTTTGTATTTATTGAAGTTAAATACATAAATATAAAAGATAATAAGTTTTCATTTGCATTAGTGGGCATGCAACTGAGATTATAAAGTACTTCTGTGGCACTTTAATAACATGAACTCTAGTCAGGTTTGAATCTTGCTGTGCTGTTTACCAGTGGTAACCTCAGATAAGTTAGTAACTTATCTAAGCCCCAGTTTCCTTACCTAAAATGAAGATTATAATTATACTTCTAGAATTAGTTTTTTTTTTGTTTTTTTTTTTGTTTTTTTTTTTTTGGCAGGCAGAGTGGACAGTGAGAGAGAGAGACAGAGAGAAAGGTCTTCCTTTGCCGTTGGTTCACCCTCCAATGGCCGCCGCGGCCGGCGCACCGCGCTGATCCGATGGCAGGAGCCAGGTACTTATCCTGGTCTCCCATGGGGTGCAGGACCCAAGCACTTGGGCCATCCTCCACTGCACTCCCTGGCCACAGCAGAGAGCTGGCCTGGAAGAGGGGCAACCGGGACAGAATCCGGCGCCCCAACCGGGACTAGAACCCGGTGTGCCGGCACTGCAAGGCAGAGGATTAGCCTAGTGAGCCGCAGCGCTGGCCTAGAATTTTTAAGAGGATTAATAGGATAATACATGTAAAGTGTTTAGCACACTGTTTACCATAGAATAAGCAGTTTTGAAAATTATTACTAGAAACAGCTAATTAGAACACTAAAAGACATGTTAGCAAAAAGTAGGCTTCTTGGGGCTGACACTGGTGTGTGGGTAAAGCTGCCGCTTGCAGTGACAGCATCCCATGTGGGTGGCAGTTCAAGTCCCAGCTGCTCGGCTTCCAATCCAGCTCTCTGCTATGGCCTGGGAAAACAGTAGAAGATGGCCCAAGTCCATGGGCCCCTGCATCAGTGTGGGAGACCTGGAGGAAGCCCTCAGCTCCTGGCTTCAGATTGGCCCAGCTCCAGCGTTTTGGCCATTTGGGGAGTGAACCAACAAATGGAAGACCTCTCTTGCTCTCTCTCTCCCCCTCTCTCCCCCTCTCTCCCCCTTTCTCCCCCTCTCTCCCCCTCTCTCCCCCTTTCTCCCCCTTTCTCCCCCTTTCTCCCCCTTTCTCCCCCTCTCTCCCCCTCTCTCCCTCTGCCTCTGCCTCTATGCAGCTCTGCCTTTCAAATAAATGAATAAATTTAAAAAAAAAAAAAAAAAAGGCTACTCAATTGCTTTGGGCAGACAAACCAAAAGAAAAATTATTAACACTTGGTAACTCTTACTATTAATTATGAGACAAAGGTTTTGATTGTACTGGTTGAAGATTTTTTATCTCCTAGAGAGGGAAAATTTGGTAAGGAGAAAATATTTTCAGAAGCAAATTTGTGTGAGCATAAAAAGCACACATGGAATCCAGTGCACAAGGAAAGGACCCAGCCAAGACTGGAGCATAGAAAGATCTAACAAAAGGAAAGGCAGAGTTTAAGTTCAAATATAGGTGGGTTGATTGCTAGATTTGATGTTGCTTTTATGTAAAAATTATGATTGCCTTTGCTTTTTCAGGAAATCAAAGTCAACCTCTGAGTGAAATGGTGATGAGGAGGATATTGCATGTTTAAAGAGAGGTGTCAAATATTATGACTTTGGGAAGTACACAGGCTTCACCAGATGAGATAATGTCTCTTTTTATAAATTATGATTCTGATTCTAGAAATTATTTCCACCACCATCCCCAATAACTGCTACTAATTGGTGTCATAGTGAACCGTTCTCCCCACATTGTCCAGTTAAGTATGTAGCATCTAGCAGTGGAAAGTACATATAAACTTCCTACTGACTACCTTTCTGTCTTTTGGAAAAGTTAAACTAAAATCCTTGATTTAGAAAATGTAACAACATCTACATAACCAAGTTATTAGCAATAGTCAATAAAGACAGTGCAGTAAATCTTAAATGTAGCAAGCCCAGTTCCAAAGTCATTTCATCTTGTATTGAGCTTAAGATCACCACTGATTAAAACTCCTTTAAAATTTTTGTCCTCCTGATTTAATATATTTTCTAATTTATCAGTATTTTATAACTCATGTTTAATGAAATTAAAGATAGTTCTGGAATTGTATATCCTAGTAATTATACCTTCTCCAGATATGCTACCCTTTGAAGGTAAAATTGTGTGTGTGTGCGTGTGTGTGTGTGTGTGATTGAAGCACTTGGAAAGAGAGGATAGTTGTTTTTTTTTTTTTTAATTTTTTATTTTTTGACAGGCAGAGTGGACAATGAGAGGGACAGAGAGAAAGGTCTTCCTTTGCCGTTGGTTCACCCTCCAAGGCCGCCACAGCCGGCTCGCTGCGGCTGGCGCACCACGCTGACCCGATGGCAGGAGCCAGGTGCTTATCCTGGTCTCCCATGGGGTGCAGGGCCCAAGCACTTGGGCCATCCTCCACTGCACTCCCTGGCCACAGCAGAGAGCTGGCCTGGAAGAGGGGCAACCGGGACAGAATCCGGCGCCCCGACCGGGACTAGAACCGGGTGTGCCGGCGCCGCAAGGCGGAGGATTAGCCTAGTGAGCCGCGGCGCCGGCCGAGAGAGGATAGTTTTAATACGTAACTAAGTTGAAGGTATAAAATCAGTTCCCTAAGTAGCTATAAACACATTAAAGCAAAACTAAAAGACTTTTTATAAACTTAACTCATTAAGAATATTTTCTCAGAACTTAAAGTACATTTTGGCTGGTTTTATCTTTCTTAAAATTCTGTCAGAATCTTTGTCGAGGAAACAGGCTATTTGAGACATTTAAGGGAAAGCAATATTGACTTTTGATCTTATAAAAACAATTCTTGCATCAAAACTAGCTTCAAGTATAAGCAAGAAACCACACTATGTGAAGCAACTATTTTTAGATAGTAGATTACAGATAACACAGGGCTATGATCCCTGAGAAAAGGAAAAAGGAGGTGGGCCTTGTGCTTGTTCCATCTTACTGCCTGCACGAAGTTGTCAGATGGAGGAACCAAGATAAAGCCCGGTGATCTCACCATTTTGACGAATTAAAGATGACTGAGTTTGAGATAACTAAAGAGTGGCAATAAGAAAAAAAAAAAGTTCCAGAGATATACAGAGTAGTTCCCTACAGGTTTTTGTTCCGTAACTATTTAGCATAAACCAGAAAAAATGCCTAGTAATTAACAAGACCAAGAAAAAGGACTGGAAAGCAGTAAACCAAACAATTTCTGAATCTTAATAGAGCTTGAAATAATTCATCTTCCCACCAGCCAGAACAGAGAGGGTTTGGGTTACATGGGGCATAGGGTGGCATTCTCAGAAGTAGTCAGACCACTTTAATAGTGTTATAAAAAAAAAACTGCCAAGAATTCATCCTAACATCTTAAGAACAAAGCTCAAAATGTTCAAATTGATCATTATTACATCCACTGCTCAAAAGAATATCAAAAATTAATAAAGCAGTGTTCAAGAAATACAATCCTGCATTCAGCAAAATGTGAAACAATGTCCAATCAAAAGTCATCAGACATGCAAAAAGATATGACTCCTAACCATAGGGAAAAAACATCCAGGTTGCCTAAGGAATAAGACAGTAACTGAGACTGCAGGGATCATATCCCCTCAGGGAGACAAATATGAATCCCTACTCATGCCCCAAGCCTCCTTCACAGAACACAGCTCCTGGTTTTAGTACAATAAGGAAAGACACAGGGAAGGAAGCAGAAAGAAAGGAATTCCCTGCGTCACCCCTCCCTGAACTCCACCTAGCGCTTGGAACTTTGCCTTGAAATTCAGTGCCATGCCTGCTGCAGTGAACCTCAGGACCAGATAAAGCCCAAGGGCTTCTACCTCCAGGCCAGTGTTGACACACACGGCTTGTAGATCTGCTATGGGATCAGCATAGACCTACACTGTGACGGAACAGTGACTCATTTCACTCTTTCACCACCAGCATCACACAGGCATACATCCTGAGACTACAGAGCACAACAGCTGTTAGACTCAGTTAAAACAGTTTGGTGTCAATCTGAGTGGCCAAGAACTGCCTCCACCCCCTCCCCCCAGCCTCATGCAAATGACAAAAAGTAAAACAGGGGAATAGGGCAGGAAAGAGTTTAGTGCTAGTCTTATCACAGTGAAACCCAGAACCAAAGTGTCTGAAAACCCCAATTCTCAAGCCAGTACTCAGAGATGCTAGACCTAACAGCATCAGATGGAGACCTGCATCCTGGTAGAACAGACTCATGTTTTGGTCTGCATCACCCCTAATCTCATGCAGGCCTAGCATACAATCACAAGATATTACATATTCCTGTCTCTGCTACACGCAGGTGCATCCCAGCTTAGTGTCAGCCTACGTAGCCAAGAAACTGCCTTCATCACTCCACTACAACATTAGGAAGACAGCAACAAGACTTCAGCTACTGGAGAACAGGACATCAAAGTGAGCTAAGGATGGTTTCTTGCCAACTCAGTGTCAGGCTGATAAAAACCCATCATTGAAAAGATTCTAACAATCCCTGTCTCCAGGGCAGTACATATAGACAAAACTTTTGGACCTGCTCTGTTGCTAACTGGAGACCCTTAACCCCAGCCAGCATCACTTGTGCCTGGTTGCAACAGCCTCAGGCTGCAAGTCAACCTAAGCAGCATGTAGCCCATAGCAAATGGCCCTTAGCCCTTCTGCATGCTGTTCTATGTAGTTTTGGCAGGATGTGAGGTCCAGGTGTAATCTAGAACTATGGGGTGGGTAGCCACTGAACTGTCCACCTCATTCCTCTCCCAAATCTAGGCAGTACTACACAATATGATGGACATTTTGGGAGAAGAAAAGGTAGTTGAGTATGAAGACATTACCTAGAAACCTGGGCCTAGTGCCATAGAGACCCACATGCCCCTACCAGTCTTCAAGACAGTGTTACCAGACACTGGGATTCTATACTCATGTTCCCATGACCACAACCACCACAGACTGAAAGCCAATGCCCCCCAAAAATCTTGGCCCTGCATCACAGGTCACTACAG